AAATTCTATATTAATAAATTCTTTCATTAATTTATCGATTATTATAGCGTGACACGTTGAGCTTTACTTGCAGCTGTATCTTCTTGATACTACCGTTTGGTAACAATAAACATGATCGAACCGTTAATTGTAAAACTCGATTCATCCCGTAAATTACGAAGCAGCAAACGGTACATGAGGAACAGAATCGTATTGAACACAAAGACTTGACTAATTACCATCTTGAATGCAAATCAGATGTTAATGTTGCGTTCGAGACGTAAATTACCACAGCTGATTTCCTTATACTAACGTGAAACCGCGTTAATGCCTTCGTTCCGTAGTTTAATATATTTTTCTGACCAGTTATTATTAATAGTACTTAAGTTGTCAGTTTTAATCATTGAACAAATATTTTGTGATGTGTAAAAACAAATTTGCTGAACACTCATTTTTATCGCAACAAAGTTTCCGAGCAATTAATTTTCCAACCACTAAACAGCCCGATTCATAAATTAAAAACATGCAAATTATACGCGTAATTACCCGTTAAAATTATCATTTAATCATATGTTAATCAAGATTAAAATGCGCTTACGTGCATGCAGGAAAAATGGACCCTCCAAGCGACGAAGAGCCAGAATACATAAAGACGTGTGGAAATCCGAAATTTAAAAAAATCCTTAAGCTACTGCATTATGTGGATAGGAACGTGAATCACAATGGAAAGTTCCAAGGATTAAACGTCTTGGAAATTAGAATAATCTCCGTTGACTCTAGTTGGAGAGGTAAAGGGATTGCCAAAGCGCTTTTAGAGAAGGCACTGTAAGTAATAAATACATGTTTTATTAACTAAATATAGAAGTACACAGGAAGTGCACACTGTAAACTACTATGAATTATATGATAATTATAGTAGCGAACTTGATGATTATTTACTTTGCAGCGAGATCGGCAAGGAAAAAGGTTTCCATATCGCACGTGCCGACTGTTCGTCCTTTTTCTCTGGGAAACTTTGCGCGAGTCTAGGCTTCAAACAAATATATGAGCTCAATTATGCGGACTATGTAGACGAGGACGGTAATCCTATATTCACCCCGGTATATCCTCATACAGCGATGGTTTCGTATATCAAGAACCTGTGAAGAGCGATACCGTATATGTTTGAAATCGAGTACCTGTTTAGAATCAAGGATGACTTTTAAAAACGCACCCCCATATTTACATTATTTGTTTTCTTTTCTAAATGTCTCCTGCCTTTATTACTTTTATACGAATCAATTACTTTAACGTTAAATTACTTAGATGACAATTTTTAGCACCAAAAAAATGTGCATCATAGATAATACGCACGATAACGAGGGCATTGATGTAATATTGTAAATTAGTAGAAGACATAAATACGAAAGATGCACTTCTCCTCTTACTAGACATTTTTAAAGTGCACACGAATTTCGTATTATTTTGTTTCGATAAACTTATATACTAAAAGAAAGATAATATGATTTGCATATAAGTAATTTACACTGCTGTTAATTTTTTAAATAATAAAGATATTGTTTACACAGATAAACATGTTACATCTTGACAATAAATTAACAATATGTGTTTTTAGACCTCTTACAGTCTGATTAATTTCTCTAAAAAAATATACCTTTACAAATTTGTATTATACAATTTATATACATGTACATACATATGTGTAGTCTTTTTATATTTAAAACTCAGATATCCATAGTATCACAAAATATGATTTTTAACAATCTCACTATATCAAAATAAATTAAACCAGGAACACAATGCTATAATGTGTTATTTTCCATTAGGAGGTAAGTTATTATTTTTCTTCCATTCTTCATATCTTTTTACATGATCTTCCCATGTTGTAGTTGCACTTTTTTCTTTAATTTTCATATATTCCTTCTGAATCCTACCACTTCTCTCTAATGATTTACGCCTGTTGTAATCATACCACCCTTTAACAATGAATACATGAAAAAATAATCCAACAATAATAGTGAGTGCACAAAATCTAATTGCCCTTGTTCTCTGTTCTGGAGTAGGTTTCTGTTTTCTTGGAAAATTAATGTCATATTCGTGTGACCAATTGCCACTAAAAAGAAATAAGACTATGACATCTTTCATAACAAATTCAAATACAATATTTATCAAAAAAATACCTAGAATATTGCTGCGCTGACCTATCCTGGTAACTATTATACCGCAAGTTAATATCATAAGAATGCCTACTGTTTGATTTACTTAGAACATTGTAGGCTTCATTTAACTTTACAAAGTCAGCATGATTTCCTTTACCACTATCAGGATGCATCTAAAAAATAAAATAATCTTATAAGATGAATGACATGAATTTTCGAATGTGGTAAGTGAGCGTAAACAGTGAAAAATGTCTCACTTCTTTTGTTAATTTAATGTAGGCATTTCTTATTTCTTTTTGCGTGGCATTTGGTGAAACGCGTAATACTTCATAATGGGTATATGTATGTCTTAAAAAAAGAATGTCATTACTTTGGATGTATAATCATGCTGAAGATGTTTAATAATGCTCTCATATTCTAACCTTTGTTTATTATAATTTCTGCAGAATATGCGAATTAATATAGGTAACTCGTATTTGTACGAACGAGAAATTTGTGCCATATTTTTGTAATCTCACACGTTATAGTAAATTTAATAAATATCGCACATGTTAAAGCACTATGTCTTCTCTCTCTTTCGTACTATTATGAAACATTTTCACGAAGACATTAGAGCAATATTACACTCGACTAAACAGGTACATAAAATCATGATCACAATTTTGACTGTACTATTTTAACTGTAATTAACATCTCTCCACGAACGTCAAAGTTGATAAAAATAATTCGTAATAACATAATTATTAGAAAAATTGCTATTTGTGTTGTTGACTAACTTCAAGTTTCGTCTTAGGTGACAGCTGGTGACAGCGCAGATGACAGCACTTGCTGTCAAATTTAATAGCGGCAACAAAGATCTGTTACAGGTAAAAGAAAGATTTCTTTTTATATTTTTCAAGTTTGCTTATTGATATTGTAAAAAGCAAGCATATAATTATTGTTCTATAGAATGTCATTAATATCTAATAAGAAGGTGACAATTGTCTTTGCATTAAATATTTATTAAAAACCAAACTCAAATTTTTATACTGTAGTAACAATTCTCTTTTGTGTGTGATGTATAGTATAAAATATATTACAATATGTATACAGGAAACGTTCTTAACGGTTATAAGATAGGCCTCAAGCCCAGCTCGATGTCTATGCATTTCATGCTTATTATATGTAATTTATGCAATACCTGTTATGCGTTTTATATAAGCTCTAGTATTATCAAAAAATTATTATTATAATATTTTATTATTATAATTATTATTATAGTTCAATTCTTGAGAAGACAGTAAGCTTATTTAAAATTTTCTACAGTATTTTGTCAAGAATATTTGTACACGGTCTTCTTAAAATTCAACATATACATTTACATAGGCAATAGTAGAACTGTTTTCTTCTCTCACAACTCGTGATAGTTCCATTTTCTTACATTTTAACTAATTACTTATTAAGAGTAAAATATGCATGTGTCATGGTATTTTCCCTGTTCTCAACAATTTAAATATGAAGGCAAGTTGTATTTTTCTCAAACAATCTGAATATTTTCAAGATATCTACGATTTTGCACCTACTCGCTCTTACCCTCTTGCACAGGGACATACGGATATTTCGGGAAATCTACAGCGTCCACTGGGTTTTTAACTTTAAAACTAGGAAATAAACCTGTCATACTAGTTCTGGTATTATATCCTTTGGAATAACCATCCCAATGATTTCCAAAAACTTCGATTTTATCTCCAACTCGTAATTCGATTTCACCGTTCCTCCTGGGTTTATGATCTAAAATAGCTTGATGAGGATGTGGATTCTGACCACCATAATAATAGATGTCATCTAATGACGCAAAGCGATTGTAAGCGTCTGGATAATACGTTTGCATTAACTCATACGCTACGCGACACACTTGTGAACTGAATGTGCACACCAGATAGTCACATTCAGACAAGAGTTGTATGTCAATTATTATTCCTTGTAGAGAAGAATCAGAATATCGCTTTGCAACTGATGCTGTCTCTGCTATCTCTGGATCTCCTATTATTACATAATTGGGGTATCGATTTCTTGCCGTTGTAATCACTTTCGGATCATCGCTCGCTATGAAGACTCTTTTCTCATCTGGTTTCGTTTCAAGTATGTCGAAATACTGTTCAACTTTGACCATGTATTCATCTATATCGTGATACGCAGCTTCCGTCCCAACTTTATCGGTTCTTCGTACATGAATTCCAACGATAGGTTTCTTAAAACCCAGTCTGTCTTTGGCGTTCTTTAGTGTTTTCTTAACGTGCTCTTGAGGTCGCATCAAATACTTCAAAACTTGACCTACCCACCACACCAAAGGGTGTCCATGTAACTTTTCTAATCTTGGGGCTAAATCAGCTGGTACACTTGGAGGTTGAAACCTTGGCTTTGGATAAACATTGTCTACAATAGGTAAAGAGATGATTTGTTTGGAGGAGTCACCAGGCCAATTAGCATGAGATGCTCCATTTGTAGATACACATGTATCGCTAAGTGGTTTAAAAACAGATTCCCAGCCATCCTTATGGTATCTCCAACCTTTGGATCTAATAATTAATGTCCTTTCTGTTCCATAAGCAACTAAGAAGCAGTACGTAATATGATGCAGCTAAAATAAAAATCGTGCTCTGTAATCAATCATACAATCGTTTGCCTTTTATACATAACAGACATTTATCTACCTGGCATCCAAAGCCACAACCTTTGTTTAAGCTGCAGACCAATTTCCTTGCCTTATTGCAATCACTAGGATTTTGTAAATACTTGAATCTCCTTTGGACAAGATCAGATAATTCTCTTGCTTCTTTTTTACGCCATTCATCAAAACCATCTACTTGAGCTAATTTATCAATGTCTATTAGGAGAGATCTTTTATGATCCCAAACATTTTTTACTGTGTCTTGTATTTTTTTTTCTCTCTGCTCATAAGTGAGTTTGTCAATAGTTTTTCTAAATTTGTTTAGTTCTGCATTAATATAATACCTGTTGAGAAAAGATCAAGATATGTGTAATGTATAAGATCCTCTTTCTAAATATATTGAAGAACTACGTATTAAACATTATGCTTGCCATGTTTCTTGAACATTGTTTCTTATCCTTTTCCTTAATTCTTCATATTCAGTAGAAGGGGTATACTGAATATTATCATGATGATCCAAAAAATCATCATATAATGAGAGCTTCTCAATCTTCTCTTGCACTGAACCTAAATGGTCCCCTTGAATAGATTTTGATTTTTCTCTGGAAATTATGTTATCCTGTATAACCAAAAGATCACAATGCTCTTTGTTCTCAACTTCGAATATATCTGCCTCTATTTTTATGGTTTCTATTATAGACTTACCCCAAGATTATGTTCTTTAATGCTTCATTTTGCCTCTTAAGGGTTTCAAAGTCATTAACCATTTGGGCTAAGCGTTGAGCATTTTCTTTATTTGTAGGACTCTCATTATTAGATGATAAATTATTAGTCTTAAAAATATGTGATACTGATATTATTAGTACTAATAGCCACGTTGCTAATAATACAACTCCTACTTTTCCTAACCAACCTGGTCTACCAGACCAAAATGTTGCCATTTTATATTAAAGTTATAGGATTATTATATTTGATGAGTTGCATTACGTCATCTATAAAATTTAGAAGTTGTTATGGAACATAAAAAAAACCATGAATAATATATACAGAAATAAAAAATTATTTAAATCTCTTTATAATATATGATGGAAGATCCTATTGTTTTAGAATAATAGCGGAAGTTATCACTAGAGAAGTCACTTTATCAGTAAAATAATATAAATAAAATAGAGCGTAATAAAATGGATACAAGGAATAATTGAAATAACAGCTATGACACGTAGATTATTACAGCATTGGATTTAATTTAATACTAACATGCTTTTAAATTACACAACTTCAAGTGATACTGAAGGAAGTAGAAATTGTTCTCACCAAGAGCATCAGCATGTTTATAAAAATACGTGAAACATGACATAAAAATCAATCGTTATCATTAACGTCATCATATAGGAACACAAGTTCTTTACACTGAATTGTCAAGTTGACTTTTCTCACATGTAGTGTATGTATCTGTATGTATGTCATTAAATACTGTCTTATGTGGTAAGCACCAGCACTGCTGGTCCAGCAGGCAGCAATACGAATTATAATTCTGACGTACACTTTATGAGGAGTTCACATCAAAGTAGAAACAATTTCGTTTTTCATTTTTCATTCCAATTCCAATCAATTTAGCTACATAATCGTTGCGAATAAAATTATTGTAATAATATCTATTCATAAAAAATGTCAACTACATTAACGAAGTTAATTAATTATAAACTATTTGAAATGTTTTATTATTTTAAATTACATATAAATTATTTTATCGGTAGCTTTATCAACAGTTGTAATAAGTAAGAGGACAGATTCATATGTGACAGTACACTGAAACGTTACATATGTGTAGACAATGTGAGTTTAGAATACAATATTTATATCAGATGGCGGTAAAAATGGTATGTTTCATTCTAACACGAAACAACGCTCTCTATTGCTTTCGTGGGTGATTTTGTCATATAACCTCGAAAGCTTGACACTATCTAAAGCATGGTGTTGTGTGAATGTGAACGGACGATTACCGCCGGACAAAAGTCTTACGAATTCTTGTTTGAACATTAATTCCAGTGTTATCGATTTACCGATTGTCGCGGTAAAAACATAAATTGGAACCGTATTAAATCGCGGAAAGAAAAGGCATGAAATTGACAGAAATAGCGTATCGGTTCAGTATCGTGTCGTGATAATTCTTAAACGCGGGTTGGCTTGGCTCTTTGTCTTTCTCTTCCCTCCCTCCGTCCGTGCTCCGAAAATCGCGCAGCATCCTTGCGCGCGAAACACGCGTATGCCGGTGGACGCACATCGTGTGTCTGTATTTCGATGTACATACTTGTGAATAGTGTATTTTAAGTACTTTAGTTTTACAGACTAGTGTGTGAAAAATCTGACCGTTTATCGCAATCGTGAAAAGATCAAATAACGAATGGACAGCTATTTGTCAACCGCTTTCGTTCTATAGCCAATGTAACTGTTGAGGTAAGACCTCATACACAAATCTGAAGTGAATATCTCCATATTATCGTATTGGGTATTGTTTCGAAGAAAGATTATTTCTCCTATTAATGATAATAGATAAAAATTCGATTTCGCGGATCTCTTGGTTCCTCCCCCTCTCTACTTTCCTACCCCTAATTCCCTCTCGTCCGTCGATGAACAAGCAGTTGTCGTTTTTTGCATGTTTCACTTTTTTTTTCTTCGGCATCACCCTAGTTTCGTTCGTCCGTCGCCGAAGCGGTCGTGTCGTTTTGGTAAAACTCGAGTGAGTCGTGATAGAATAAGTTACGATCGTTTCTCGACAATTCCCTTTGTGTACTCGTTCTTCGTGTTCGGGCAGTGTTGTCAAAATTCCGGCAGCACCGCTCGGCCAGCCAGCTGCCATTGCTGTACTGTCTCCGTTCAATCGCAGCTTCATAAATACGATTCTCTTGGGGTGATTATTCTGGTTGTCGTGGTCGTCGTCCTCGTCGTCGTGGAAACAGCGAAGATGCCGCACTGAATCAAGAGCCACGCAGTGTGGAACATGCTCGCAGAACAGACGTAGCGGCCGATTGTACGTTTGGCTCCAGACGCCGGTTCTGCGCGAGCTAACCTTCACAGCGAGGGTTTCTTTTATCTGTTTAATCATCGTTCGAGGGGTCTGAAGCAGCGATAGAGATTGACAGAACGATGAAGTGGCTCGGTGCAAGTAGCGCTGGTGCTGCGGGTGAACCGGCACCTTCTATGCAGTTGCACCATCCATCCGCGAACGGACACATACCTACGGTATGCGGTTATTTTACTTACATCTTGTTACTTTTCTATTTAATTGTTTAATATACGTTGGACAACGACTTATCACGATAAAGTTTTATTACTCATCGAAATGTCATAACCTATCATCTCGTGTCTCGAAATGAAATAATCTCATTTCGAACGTTGTCTTAGCCATTTATCACTGTCGTCGTTTGTATTCATTACGTTTTTATTTATTGTGATATTTATCTGTGTGAGAGACAACATTCTATTATTGAAACATGGAAAAGAAACATTTCTATTATGTATGTGAATAAGTATTGCATATGCTTGTGCTTTGTTTGATCCATCATGGCAGGGTACTAATACAGAAATAAAGGTGTTTTTGTTACATACATTGATTTGCTTGCTCCAGTGAAATAGAAGTTTAATAATTCAAGCTCATGTATCTTGTATGATCAGCAATGATTTCTCCTAACAAAGTTTTTTTTAAGTTTTATTTACATTGTTTTTTAAAATACATCTTTGAGAACAATGTATTGATTTTATTAGTCTTCAGTTTATTAGATATGAAAGTTATTCTGTACTTATGTAATTACAATAACAGTAATAAAATGGCTTTTAGACAATGAAATGTTATTTTATTGGACAGGATGCAGAGCAATGTGGTCAAGTAATGGCTGGTGGCGATAGTATGCGTATACAGCCAAGTCAGACACATCAGATAGGTGTGAACAGAACTCAAGATGATGCTATGGTGAGTTATGTATTTCAACGACCTACAGAAGGAGAATTCAATCCTCAGTCGTCAACTTTTCAAACAAAGCAAGCACCTCGAGCTTGGGCACTTGCAGATGATGCTATCATTGATAATGTAAGTGTTTTAAACATTTTGAACCAACACATATTACACACACCCGATAATAAAAAAATCTTTAGACTTGTATTTTGACACTTCAAACGATAGTTCCATAGTTAGATAGACAAATTTTGCTTCCCCTTGATTGCAAGTTTAAATGATTTATAGAATCCCGAAAAATGGAAATATCCCATTACTAAACTGAGTGTACCACAACAGAATCAACCACAACAATTGGGTCTACAGACTATGAACAATGTGCATATACCATACGAAATACATCCAATGCAACTTAAAGTAAGCAGTATATTTATTAATATTTCCAGCAATGAAGTAAATCTTACCTTTTATCTTGGTATTAATGTTAGCATATTTTTATGTTTACAGAGCGGAGCACCAGGGACAGAACATTTAGTTTATCTTAACAATCAAATGACAGCGCAGCAACAAGTTGCCCTTTTCCACCATCAGCAGCAACAACAGCAACAGTTCAGAAATGGCCAAGTAAGCAATATTATTATAATATATTTGGCTTAGTTTAAGAGCATATGACTTCAATAGTAGTATAAGAAATGGACGAATAATAATAGACAATTTCAAAAGCGTACAACTGCTATTGAAGTTCATATCATCAATATTGTTTGAACACAATCATGTTGTTTATGTAAAACTATAGTTGAACTCCTTAAAAGACAAAACAATGAGCAGTCTTTCATACGTTTGGAAGCATTGTTTCCTATTGATTGATTTCCGTTATAAATATTATTTATGTAGGTAACATTATTAACTTCAAATGCACGTTACTGCATTTAGGTTCCTAGAATATTAAATCTCATCTCGATATCCAGCTGATTAGGAAGTGTTATTAATACCAATGGCGGGAGTTAACCGGTTATATAGAAAGTTTAGTCAAAGCGTGGGCCTGCTTGGTAAATCATGCCAGGGTCAGAATTTAGTGGTTCAATAAATTACAAAAGATAAATTTGTAGTTAGTAATGACTATCAATTATTCACATAAAGGGAATTTCTTAAGAAGCGTTACTAAAAAATACATTTAACCCTAAAATGGAATTTAATCTGTTTTGCTCAAATATTTATTTGATATAAATAATAAATTTCCCATCCATGCGGTGAATTGAATTTCGCATCCGGTCGCCGCGAGAGGTCGGGTTGTCGTTGAAAGAGAATGGTGATTGGTCAGCAACAGTTCGCAAAACATAGCGGTAACTGGAAAGGTATTCGGCAGAGGGCACTCGGTTCGAGCGTCGTTCTTTGTTTCGGTTAGGAGGGCAGTCTCTATCGAAGTAGAGAGGCCGGTTAACGAAAATTCGAGGTGAGAGAGACAAGTTTTAAGAGAGAGCCGATCGTAACGCCCGAGCGTTATTTTAACGCCCACAAAAACAACGCGTCCAGCGATATGTCAACAAGGACGTGAATTCAGGCAAGAAGAGAGTAACTTGACTTTGCCTGCTCCCCGCTGTAAATAAACGCGTATTCGCGGAGTGAGTGTGCAAAGTGCGCGAGAGGAGAAAGGAGGTGGTGGAGGTGACGGTGGCGGCGGCGGTGGCGGTGGCGGAGGAGGAGGAAGAGGACGAGGAAGAAGAGAGGAGCATAGGTAGCAGTGGCAGCATCGAAGCACCCGAGGTGTCGAACTGTTTGACAGGCGGCCGAACGCTTTTCTTTCTCTTTCACACCCCCGGTCGGCGGTGCCGTGTTTCGCATTGTTCTCCAGGGCAGTGCGGTGTGTGCTCCGTTTACTAGAGAGAGGTCTGTCTGTCCGCTCAAGAGAAGAAAAAAGGAACGTGAAAACAACCGGGAGTGGTGTGTATTCAGTGCCGGCTGAATCGGCGTCCGCGCCCCGACGCCGCGCGGTTCACGTACGATTCACGCTGTTTTTCTTGTAACGCGTCGTCGGTATTCTACGAGGATCTGAACACGATCCAAGATAGCCCCCTTCTACATTGGATGTGCGTGCTGTAAAGAGTGTGTGTGTCAATTTCTCGTTCACGTTGTTGGTGTACCACGGGGTTAACGGTGAATCTCTCGAAGGTGACGCGCCGTGCCGAGGGTACCTTGGAGACGGTGGAGAGTTTCGGTGTAGGGTACGGCCAGGGAGCAGGCACGAGCACAGGCGACTGGATGAAACCACCGGGGGATCTTTTCCTTTACTGCGACATGAAGGATTTGGGGGCCGACATGGTATTTATCCTTGTTTAATTAGTGTACCTTTTCTGAAGAGCATTGCCATTTTTTCTCATTGAACAGATCCAAGTTAGCGATCAAATCACAGATTTGTAGGTTATGTCTCGGATATTTTTTTTCTACCTTTAATGGAAACGTCCATGTTTATGGAACTCGAAAGAGTTTGGATCTGGAGTCAGTCGGATCGTTTGGAATAGTTGACGTTACGTACTGCAAACTCAGTACAATATATTTAAGATTTGTCAGCAACCATTAACGGATTTCTGAATTCTCTATTACCATAAACATATTCTATGACGTTTCTGTTGATCGTCTTGCAACTATTGAATATAATGAGAACAGTACGTCTAGAATCGTATTTCTATTTCTCATTATTTCCGATCAAGCTGATTATATTTTTCGTTTTTCTTACAAAAGAAGACATAATGAATGAATACGGTAACGGTGCAAAATGCCATACAGATAAAGCTGTCAGTGTCTCGTGTTTACGTTACTTAACGGTATCAAAATATATTTTCATAGGATATTGCAAACAAGATCGTTCCTGCAACTATTACATTTTTGGCGCATTGAATTTTTGACGTATACTGTTCTAAATTCATTTCTGATAATTTATATATATTTTTTACGAATGAATACATTATTTTTATTTTT